ACTGCTAGTGTCTCAACTGCTATGTTTGGCTCTTCTGCTATGGATCAACTGCTATTTTCGCCATTTTTGATGTCTCAACTGCTATGACTTTTGTCTGAACTGCTATGGCTATAACAGTCGGTCGATAGCAGAAGAGCCAAATATAGCAGTTGATCACCCCGTAGCACTTGAGAAAATAGCATTTGATCTATAGCACATGAGCCAGGGTAGCACTTGAGACAATAGCAGTTGAGAATCCGTCTACAATTTCCAGCAATTTCCCCAATTTCCCCAATTTCCAGCGGCAAAAAAGCGTTCTTCGACTCGGGAAACGTCTTCGAATACTTCTACGACGCCTTCCTTTTCCAATGGAACGGTGGCCTCCAACAAGATCTTCGCAACCTGAAATACAAATACCCAGATTACGAAGTCTGGGTGACAGGACACTCTATGGGAGGAGCCATCGCCTCCATCGCCGCTTCTTACCTAGTGAAGACGGGGTTGTATACAGCTGACAAGATCAAATTGGTCACTTTGGGACAACCGAGAACTGGAGATTACGCATTCGCCGCGTGGCACGATGCCACGTTCCCATACTCGTTCAGAATCGTTCATCACAGAGATATTGCCGCCCACATTCCACCAATGGAGGGGCAGGATGAGCTTTTCCATCATAGAACCGAGGTTTGGTGAGTCAAGTTTTGTTCAGGGGTGGCCGGGAATGTCATGAAACGGTCAAAATTTGTTCTGATGGTACGGTGCATTGTTTAGATAGGACAACGCGCTTCCGGCGCTTCAGCAGTCAAGGCGCCATGTCCAGGGCTTGTCTGGAACGTCTTAAAACTGAGTAGCTGTGGTTCTGACGGTACGATGCATTGCTTAGATGGGACAACGCGCCTCCGGCGCTTCGGCAGTTGATTCTAAGCAATTCTTGGAAGCACCGTAATGAAAATTGGTCTGGAAAAGGACTGTGTGATTGAAAAAATTCCAAAAAAATTTTCTTTTTGGAATTTTCAAGTCCAAAAAAACCACTTATTAGACGCGTCTCCGGCGCTTTGGCAGTTGATTCTAGAGCGACTTCCGCGGGAGCGCCGTGCTGAAAAATGGTCTGAAACAGAATTGTGCGAAAAAAAAATATTGTAAAAGTTTTTTTGAAATTTTTTTTTCGCAACTTTTCGAAATTTTCAGTTCTGAGAATCCGGAAAAAATTTGACTTTTCATCGAAATTTTCGTTGGAATACGGACGAAAAACAGGTAAAATCTTTGAAAAAACCGGAAAAAAAATTTAAAAAAAAAACCGGGAAAAAAAATTATTATAAAAAAAATTTTCGAATTTTTCAAAAAACTTGTCCACGCAGACTACACGAGCCGGGTTTTCTGGACGATCATTTAGGATGGTAATTTGAAAAAAAATTGGTTTTTCATGATTTTTTATGGGGTTTTCCTTGATTTTTTGGTTTCAAAAGGTGTTCCGCCGGAAAAACTATCGAAAAAAATTTTAAAAAAGTTTTTTCGCCAAAAAAACCAACAAAAGTTTTGATCGAAACTCTAAAAATGTTCAAAAATACGACCTCTGGCCTGAAACGCCGTGATACCGTCCAACTTTCATTCTGTAGAATTGATCAATTACCTTAAAGGCTCATAATGGGTCTCGCCACGAAAAAATATTTCTTTTCCAGGTACAACAACAACATGACCATCGGACAACCCTACACCCTGTGTGCTGAAGCCGATGGTCTCTACTGTAGTGCCCGTCAATTGGACTACAGCGCCGAGGACCACGTCTGGTACTTTGGACGCAATTTTGTCGATTGGGGAGCTGCTGGGTGTCCTTGAACGAATTTTGAAATTTTGACTTAAAATATGAACTGATTCTATATAAATTGGTTACCTCTGCACCGTAAATCCTGTAATTTAGGCATACACAGTACTGCACGCAGCATATCTCGGTTGTCTTCATAGTTATCAAAAAGTTTTCAACTACTCGGTTGTTTGCGGCGGATTCCTCCTAAGCTTTGAGCGAAGTCTGCTTAAAGTCAGCCGAAAAGCCGCCTACTGTTCGCACAACGTCTGGCGAAAGTTTAAGTTCCGTTCAAAAACCACCCAAGTTCAGCTCAAAAACAATAAGCTTTCGCCTAAAGTCAGCGGCGAAGTCAAAGCGAAGATACAGCAGGACTTGAGCGAAACTTAAGCACAGATTCCGCTCAAAGCTTAGGCGGAATCTGCCAAACTTTGCCTAAACGCAAAAATCAACGGGCGCGAAAGTTTAACTTCCGCCCAGAAACAGCCGCCGGCAACCGAGTAGTAAAATGTTCAAAATTTTTTGCTCTACATTTCTTTAGTTGACCACTTTTTGATAGCTTTACAGGCAGCCGAGATATACTGCTCTGAACATGCGGTACTCAGAGAATATTACAAAAAATTCATTTTTTCAAAAAAAAAAAAAATGAAAAAAATAATCAGGTTCAAGTTTGTATTCTACTTTTTCTTCAACTTCTTCAGAGGCTTCTTGATCAGTTTGACCGCATTTTTAGCATAGTCATATGCCATAAATGACGCCACATAGGCAGCCACACTGGCCACAATCAAGACGGAGCAGGTGCCGAGCTCATAGGCAAAGACTTTGGATCTGGAATGGAATCAGGTTGGAGGGGATGGATGGGGGCAATTACAAGTATATCAAAACTGAAAGCTCAGAATTACCGTCTGACCAACCTGGGCGGTGCGGGCCTGGCTATATTGTCCGGGTACATAAATCCGAACATGTGACCCTATTCCCGGACCTTCTAGCCGGACAATTGCGGCCCAGATTGATCTGGCGGTGATTCAAAATTTTCAAGCGCGCAGTACTTTTCAAGACGGTCAAGTCTAACCGGTTCATGGCTGTACAGGCCCAACCGAGGCCTCGCGTAGCATCATCAACCTATCACAACGCAGATAACGGGAAGCTACACGTGCCCGAATACTCCGCACCAGCCTGGGCAGTCCAGGCCTGGCTGGATTGTCCGGACCAAGAGGTACGGGCCCGGATTAGTGTGCCCGGACAATATGACCTGACACGTGGAGTCCAGATTGATCTGGCGGTGATTCAAAATTTTCAAATGCGTAGTACCCTCCAAAACCAAAATCTCGCTTCAGCCTGCCCGGATCGGACCGGAGAAAAGCAACTACGACTCACTTAAACTCCGCATCCTTCTCCTTCTGTGTCTTCTGATGCAACGGCTCAGCCCTTGGAGCTTGACTAGTCTCCTCCTGTGGAATGGGGTCCAAATCTCCTGGAGGAATGGTGGGTATGGCCACTGGAAATTCGCGGAAATTAAAAATTTACAGGAAATGAAGCTAGCTTACTTTTAGTGGTCGGTGCTGGAGCGCCGGGTTTCGGCTTAGAGGTGGCGGGTGCTGGAATAATTTAAATCAGGGAGCTATCTGATGTTTGGAGCTGTATATCTCGGTTGCCTTTGAATCTATCAAAAAGTGATCAACTAAAGAAATGCTAAGCAAAACATTTGGAGTATTTTGCTAATTGAAAACTTTTAGATAGCTTCGAAGGCAGCCGAGATATGCTGCTCAGAACATGCGGGTCCTAAGAAAACTAGTTAGCTTACCAGGTACATTGGGGGATTTTGGTGTGCTCTCAGGGTTTGAACCAGGGTCTCCAGGGGCGTCAGTGGTGGATACTGGCCCTGGTCCTGGGTCAGCAATCCCGGGTGCGTCAGTGGTGGTGCCCGCGTTTAATCCTGGTGGGTTCTGAGGATCCACGGTGGTAGTTTCAGATCCAGAAGGCGGGTTCTGGGGATCCTCGGTGCTGGTTTTTGGTCCTGGTCGTGGATCAGGCATCTTAGGCTCCTCAGTACTGGTTACTGGTCCTGGTCCTGGATCAGGCTGCTTAGGCACCTCAGTGCTAGTTACTGGTCCTGGGTCAGGCTGCTTAGGCTCCTCTGTAGTCTTCTCTGGTCCAGTTTGCACCGGCTTAGGCTCCTCAGTTGAGGTTTTCGGTCCCGATCCTGGTGGCTGCTTAGGCTCCACTGTGGTTTTTTCTGGTCCTGCTCCTGGGTCAGGCATCTTAGGCTTCTCTGTAGACGTTTCTGATCCAGATGGCACCGGCTTAGGATCCACTGTAGTCTTTTCCTGTACTGGTGCCGGCTTGACCTCAGTCGTAGAGCTTTTCTCCTCACCACCAGCTGGACCTCTTGGACCCACTGGATCCACCGGGTCTACTGTAGTGGTTTCCTTTCCTGTTGCCGGTTTGACGGAAGTTTTCTCTTCACCACCAACAGCTCCCGGATCCGGTGCCCCAGTAGTTTTCTCAGCAGCCTCTACTGTAGTTGGATTCCCCTTTGGGGGTGGGACATCTGGCTTTTTCGTAGAAGTTTCTGGATTCACTTTCACTGGAACCACAGTAGTCTCCTTGTTTTCCGGAGGCGGTGGGTCTACAGTGGGGATGGTGGTCTCTGCTACAGTATCTGCTGCGCTAGTCTTTGCTCCTGCGGATCCATCGGGTGGATTTACGGGTTTTCCCGTTGTAGGCGATCCAGCGGCTCCTTGGCCTTTCTTGGGCTCTTCGGTGGTCTTCTCCTCGGGAACTTTAGCCGGTGTCGACGTGGTTTTCGTATCTTCGGGTTCTGAAAAAAATGAAGTAAATTGGTAACTCAACAAAATTAGTTACTTTTGACAGGAGGTTGTCCTGGCTGGGTCGCATTTCCTTTCTGAGGGTCCTCCGGTTGCTGAGCACCACCTGAAAACGTCAGAAAGTGCGCTCTCTTGAACAATTTTCGCTACTTGGCGGCCATTTGTACATAATTTTAGTGCACTGTATTTTCAAAGCAGCATATCTCAGTTGCTTTCAAAGCTATCAAAAAGTTTTCAACTAGTAAAATTTTCAAAATGATTTGCCTAACATTTCTCCCGTTGACTACTTTTTGATAGCTTTAAAGGCAACCGAGATACGCCGCTCTGAACATACAGTACTTGTCCAACAGCCACACCATTGTCTACGCTCTCTTTACCTTCTCCAAGCTCTGTGCCACGTGGCCTAGCGGCTAGCGCTGTTGTCTTTGAAACTCTCATCGCGGGTTCAAGCCCCACTGGGGTTGAACCTTTTTTTTTCTTGAAGGATGCACTCACCAGTTCCTAGTTGACTCGGAGAGGTTCCTTTGACAGATGATGTTCCATCTCCGGGTGGATCCGACGGAGTTTTGCTAGGGCCTCCGGGTGCAAGTTGGTTTGGGGTTTTGCTGGGGTCTCCACCTTTTGGTGTGCCGGATGATTTGCTAGGACCTCCGGGTGCAGTTTGACCCGAAGTTTTGTTAGGGTCTCCACCTTTTGGTAGACCTGAGGGCGTCTTAGGATCTGCGGGTGCAGTTTGACTTGGGGTTTTGTTAGGGTCTCCGCCCCCTCCGGCTCCCGTTGCTCTGCCTCCTTTAGACGTGTTCGTTAGATTTCCGGGTGGTTTGGCTGAAAATCATTGCTATCTATGAGAAATGGGCTCCACGTCACTTGGCAACTGGAAATTTCGAAACTGTGACGTTTCGCCACTGCGTCACTTCGCAACTTGCAAGTTCAAAGGTAAGGGTAACGCCAGAAACGGCGGGGAGACGCAGACAGGGAGACAGTCTCGGCGTCTGCGTCTCTTCAATTTTTTTTCAAAGCGAAAGGGCGAGGAGACGCAGACATTGGGACTGTCTCGCTGTCTGCGTCTCTTCAAATTTTTTTCAAAGCGAAAGGGCGAGGAGACGCAGACATTGAGACTGTCTCGCTGTCTGCGTCTCTTCAATTTTTTAAAGCGAAAGGGCGAGGAGACGCAGACATTGAGACTGTCTCGCTGTCTGCGTCTCTTCAATTTTTTTAAAGCGAAAGGGCGAGGAGACGCAGACATTGAGACTGTCTCGCTGTCTGCGTCTCTTGCAACTTTCACAAAAGCTGCTGTAGGCGCGGCAAACTAAGCTCCGCCCCCCTCCGCAATATACTCACCATCAATTCCACCCTGATGAAGAAGAGAAATGAGAAAAAGTGTCAGTAATATCCACTGACAACGTTGAAAAGACCTCATTGATAACGGCAGAATGCGATCACCTGAATGTCTGAAACATGCCCTTCTATTAGAGGTAAAAAATAGGAAGTACCTTTTTTGTCGATGAAGTGTTTAGACGTTTCTAGTCGAATAATACATTTTTGAATCAAAAATTTTTGAAGAAAATCGAAAAATCAGGAAATTGGGTTTCGGGGACAAGTTGAAAAAAAAATTTCATAAGAAAAAAATTTTTTTCGAAAATCAAAAAAAAAAATTTTAATCACGTAACCCCAAGAACAAAATCCACGATTTCTCAATTCGATCAATCAAAAAATCGATAATCAGTCCTTACTCTTCACATCTTTGGAACGAACATCTTCATCGGCTGGTCGGAAAAGGTATTTTTTACCCAAAATTCAAATTTCCGCCAAACTTTTTTTTTTTTTGGAAGACATTCAAGTGATCAAAGCAATCATGAGGTCGTCGTATTTTCTATTGTTGATAGCACTTCTCCTCCCGCCGATTCATTGCAGTTGGTCGTTTGGTGAGTTGAGAGGTCCATGAAAAATAGCACTTGATCACCCCATTGCACTTGAGAAAAAAGCCGGTAAATACTCAACTGCTATGGGGGTGATCAACTGCTATTTTGTCATTGCTAGTGTCTCAATTGCTATATTTGACTCTTCTGCTTTGGATCAACTGCTATTTTCGTCACTTTTGATGTATAGCGGTTGAGACAATAGTCATAGCAGCTGAAACATCAATAGTGGCGAAAATAGCAGTTGATCCATAGCAGAAGAGCCAAATATGGCAGTTGAGTAAGTAGCAGTTACAACATAGCAGTTGATCACCCCCGTAGCAATTGAAATATAGCAGTAGATTTCATAGCAGTTGAGTGTCTCCCAGGTCCAAGCGCCTTCAAAATGAAAATCGAATTTTTTTCCAAACCTAGTCATGATTATACTCTTTCGAACCGTCTCGACGAGCTGATTCCAAAAATAGTCGTTTTAGCGCGATTTGGGCAATATTGACCTGGGTTACAGCTTCCCGGACACTCTAGGCGGTCCTGTACATCCCAGTCTGGTCTGACAGTGATTCTAAGTTTACAGACGTGTAGAGCTCATCGAGATCTACATTTTGATATGTTTTTGGGCTCAAAATCTTGATTTTGAAGAAAGTTATAGTAGTGCTCGCGCCTGGCTCGGTGAGAACGAGCGCATAAGCTGCCAGAGTGCCGGAGGCGCGATTTGGTGTCGAAAAAGTTTTTCGGCGAGCCTGGTGCAGGTATGGTCAAGGTTGGTGAGGTTTGCCGCTCATCTGTCACAAAAAGAGCCCCGTTGCAGACCGTGTCGCGTCTGGCAACACTGAACCTGGGCGCACTTGATACCTTCCAGCCAAAAACAAGCCGGAAATAAGCCGGAAATCGCCAGAGAGTGCCGTTCAGCGCGCTGCGGTCGCGCCGCGCCAGGCGCAGCCTAGCGCCGCCCCATGCATGTCCCCTGAGAGCACTGACCCCTATTTTCCTGTTTTCAGGCGAGCCAGAACTGAGTAACGAGCCAGAGTTGAAGTTGAAAAGTCGGGGAAGACTTGATTTTGCACCTGGCGATAAATCGAAGACCACGGAAGCCACGGATGCTAGTGCGGAGGTGTCGTCCACGATCCGAACAATTAAAATTGGCGATCCAGATAGCTCAAACAGTGCAGAAGCTTCCACAGAACCATCCCCAGGTAAGATAATGGCGCCTCCAAACGTTTTCAATGGTCAAATCCTTATAGATCCCTCTACGGTCGCTAGTACGGTGGCGTCCAAAGAATCTTCCACTGGAGCATCCACAGTGCCATCTACAGGTAGGATAGTGACTTTTCTGGACGTTTTCAATAACCCTTATCTCTACAGATCCCTCTACGGAAGCTAGTACAGAAGTTTCCACTGACGCCTCCACTGACTCATCTACAGAAGCATCCCCTGAACCTAGTACTGATACTGTCTCATCAACGATTCTAGTCGTTCAAATTGGTGGCAATCCTACTTCCACAGGATCACCCGCAGAAGACTCGACAACTGTGACGCTTCCGGACGTTTTCAAAGGTGAAATCCGTACAGATTCTTCAACGGAAAATAGCAAGGAAGCCAGTACGGAGCCTTCTACCGAACCAGCTAAAATAGCCAGTACGGATGCCAGCACTGAAGCCTCTACCGAACCATCTACGGAACTTTCTGCAGAACCCTCCACCAAAGGTGAGATAGTAATTTTTCCTAACGTTTTCCAAGGTCAAATCCTTACAGAATCCTCCACGGAAGCTAGTACTGAAGCATCTACGGAAGCCTCTACCGAACCGTCTAAAGATGTCAGTAGTGAAGCCAGTACGGGACCCTCTACAGATGACTCTACAACAGTTACTCTCCCGAACGTTTTCACTGGTCGTGTTAACGGTGAAAAGTCGACAGAAGTCAGTACGGAAGTCTCCACTGAAGCATCTACAGACCCATCGACCTCGGTTACCGTTCCTAATCCTCTCGGTGGTGGTGGTGCTGGCGGCATCAGTTCAACTGAAGTTTCTACAGAACCCTCGGCAGATCCCTCTACAGAAGCTAGTACGGAAGGTTCTCCTGAAGCCTCATCCACCAAAGCAGTCGCCGAAGCATCTACAGGAGCATCTACAGAAGCAACCACCGAAGTTCCCACGGTTACGGTTAAGATTCCTGATCCCTCTAATGGTAATGGTGGTGGTCCTGGTGATAAGAGTACGTCTGATGCATCGGCGGAGGCATCAACAAAAGCATCTACAGAAGCTCTCACAGAAGCCAGCACGGAACCTTCTACAGAACCTTCAGCAGGTAAGATAGTGACTTTCCCGAATGGTTTCAATGATCAAATTCTTACAGATCGCTCTACAGAAGCAACCACTGAATCCCCAACAGACTCATCGACCACGGTTAAGATTCCTGATCCTTCCGGTGGTGGTCTTGGTGGTGGTGGAGGTGGCCCTACAACCGATGCATCGACGGAAACGTCCTCCGAAGCATCTACAGAACCTCCAACAGACCCATCAACGGTCAAGATTCCTGACCCTCCAGGCGTTGGTGGTGGTAAGAGTACGACCGATGAGCCAACAACTGAAGCATCCTCTGAAGTATCAACAGAAGCCAGTACGGAAGCATCCATAGTATCTAGTACTGAAGCATCTGCAGAAGCATCAACGACGGTTAAGATTCCTGATCCTTCCGGTGGTGGTCTTGGTGGTGGTGCAGTTGGTTCTAGCGATAAGAGCACAACCGTTGAGCCTACAACTGAAGCATCTACCGAACCATCTACAGAAGCACCTACAGAAGCAACGTCCACGGCTAAGATTTCTGATCCTTCGGGTGGTAGTGTTGGTGGTGGTGGAGCTGGCGCAGGTGGCAAAAGTACGACCGAAGCATCCTCAGATCCCTCTACGGAAGCTTCCACTGAACCATCTTCTGAAGCATCTACAGAACCAGCTACAGAAGCATCGGCCGCGGTTACCATTCCGAATGTTCCTGGTTTAGACAAATCTACTCCTGAAGCACCTACAGATCCATCAACCACTGTAACCATCCCAGACGCCCCGGAAGACAAATCGACTGCTGAAACTCCTGCAGTTCCTCCAGGAGGAGCATCTACTGAAACTACCGATGAAGCGGCAACCACCGCTGAAGAATTGACGACTGCTGAGCCTACTACGAAAGCCACTGATGCTCCAACTAAAGACGCCAGTTCTACGATTAAGATTCCTCCTCAAGGACCAGGAAATGACAAGTCTTCAACGGTGGAACCAACGACAGAAGCGGAGACTACTGTAGAGCCAACGACGATTCCTGATCCGACAACGGCACCTGAGGCTTCAACTGAAGCGGAGACTACTGTAGAACCGACAGAAGAGCCGACAACAGTTACTGATGCTCCGGATCCTGAGACGTCTACTGAAGAGGTGGAGGAGACGACTGAAGATGAGGAGGAGACCACCACCGAGGAAGATTACCCTGATCCAGGGGAGGAGACTACTACAGAAGAGCCGACGGATCCAGGAGTAACAGGTGAGTGATAAGGGGAAGAGAGA